GTGACTGCAAATGTACAAAAACTAATGGGCGTTTGGATTTCGATGTTGGGGAATTTTGTCAAAATTGTGCACTCAAAAAGAAAATTGGCCGTTGGCTAGATGAAATGAAAGGTTGCAAAGAAAAAATTACAAATAATTGAAAGTTGAAAACGATTACAAATAAAAAGCGAACGAATTTTGAAATGACTACCGATTGCAGAAGTTTCAAAAGAAGAATACTAGAAATCAGGATATATCAACAAGACAACAACACAAATATTGGCTCCTTAATAGAAACAAAAACGCTTCGCATACACATCATTTTAAATCAAAAGCAATCGAACAAAANAAAAGAACTCTACACATACAATATACATGAATAAAGATTATTCACGAATGTCAGTTGATTAAAAGCATGAATAACAAAATTCACAAAAAGTTTAACTTCAAAAACATCAATAAGTGAGTGCAGTGCACATCATGCCCTTATCAGCCGTATCAGTCTCATATGCACTTCGTTATCTGCTCATAGCATAATCGTCACGTAATCATTTTCAATGCACATCAACTTTACAATCAGAACTCAAGACGTTTCGAACACATTCCAATAAAAAGTGACAATTTATGAGAGCAAAAAAACTAGTACGCCAAACAAGACAGCAAGTCATAAATGGAAAGTCCTCCAACGAATGCTAGGTTAACTTGAGAACTTCAAAATGAAAATAATCAGAATTGTATACAATCAAGAACCCACCAAATTTAAGATTTTATCCCAGCATTAAGAAATCATCAACTGTTTTAAAAAATGTTTCGGATGTTGGATTAAAAATTCTTCAGAAAACAAGTTCAGAAGGAAGTGATGAATTGATTAAGCGGAAAAAAAGCATTCACTCGTTATTGGCTGTGAGTGTAATCAATGAAGGGAATGCTGAGAAAACAGACAATGCGAAAGGTTTATGGCATAAAATTGTACATTATCAATAGGTCAAGACAGTTCGAGCGAAAATCTTCTTCAGAAGGGGAATGCAGTAAACTAAACAAGACTTTCATTGACTGCACTAAAATTCAATATCATTTGAACAAAATTTGTTTCAAACAACAAACACACAAAATTACAAGTGAAAATTTTCTAAATAGTTACAAAAANAATATCATTTGAACAAAATTTGTTTCAAACAACAAACACACAAAATTACAAGTGAAAATTTTCTAAATAGTTACAAAAAAGATTCAAAAATTTGAAAATTGCAACAAAAATAATTAAATGACGAAAATTTCCGCGAATTATGAGAAAACTACTCATGCGACTTCCACGAATAGTCTTGATACGTCCAGCTGAAAGTATGTTACATTAAAATTTCTGACGAAATATTATACTCTGAAATACATTATTACATGCGAATTTAATAGCTTTCGAAAAAAGAAAAAACAGAACACTGCAACAACAAAGACCTTAAAATTGCTCCATGCCTCACACAGCTGAATCATTGGTTCATCACCACGAGGAGAAAACGGCCTGAAAATTACTCACAAACAATTACTCAAAGAAAATAATGGATTCAAACAGAACATTAAATGATTCATGCCCTGAAATTGAGGTTGTTTTCGATGACTGTGCGGTAAAGAAATGACTGAGTCAGAGGATAACAATGATGGAACGGATATATGCTCGGATCACAGCACAGAGGTACCGTTTACGCGCTTATAATCAGTTATTTGCATAACTCATCATAGAAAAAATAAAGAAAAAACAAATGAGCCGACAAATAAATATCAGAAAAAGTCAATTGATTAGATGAAGAACTGGATTAACAATCACATGAATGTGAAATGAATAAACAAGTTAAACTACATATTACCACAATTCAAAACATCGACAAAAATGAGCACTTACGTTTGATCGATCAACAAACTGTTCGTATTTATGTGTGATGTTTGTGGTGATAATTGTAAGTGAAATTGTGTTTCTGTCGGTATGATCGTACTCAGATTCAAATTCAAATCCATACTCAAATTCATCAACAACTCATCAGCTGCATTATTCGTCAGTGATGCATTTGCGGCTGTTCCAGTCATGTTCAACAACCTCTCATCGCCACCATCCGTTTCACGTTCTGATTTGCGATTTCTTAGTCTACGAGCTCGTCGCTGAGCACTCGTCTCCTTCGGTTTTTGCACACAAACTCCTGGCGCACTAGCCCCGGCCACAGACCCACCAGTTACACTCGACGCTCCTATACCTGTACCAACAATCGAGCTCTGACTTTTCGGGCTTATGTCATTTGTGCTAATCAACAAGTTTGTT